AACTTGCAAAGAAGTTGGAAGAAATTTTACAATCGAAAATTTACTTCCAAAAAAATCATATCCCATGTAATTTTACATCCAAAAATTTACATGGGATATGACTTTTTCGGATGTAAAATTTAAAAAATTTTTGATGTCATATTCAATATAAAATTTCCTAATAAAATGATGAAAATTACTTTGAGAAATTTGTATCGCAAAAATAATAAATGTTATGAAATAATTGAATTTAAAAAAAAATGCGAGTTAGACGTCTTTTTTTTAAGACTCACGTTTAACGTATTTTTAACTATTTTCGATATCCATTTGGACTATTCAATATGCCCATTATGTAGTTTTTGAAATAAGGTTTGAGATGATATAAGCAATTCGTAGATTCGATTAGCGTACGATAGTCGGAGAATTTTTAAAATTAGCATATTATCGAAATTCAAATTTATTGTGATTTTGCCCTGTTTGGTGGCGATTAAAATCAAATTTTTAGTAAATTTTGATAAAAGTTAAACAATTATGGATTACATGAAATATGTTATTAAAATTAATTGTTAACTTTGATTTAGATTAAAATTTAGACTTCAATCGATAACAAACACGATTTTATTAAAAAANGCAGTTTTAACTACGTGCGAAATTTAATTAATAGATTAAACATGTAAAACACCTGATATAACGTGGTGAACTCCGAAGGGAAACATTCATGACCCCATGCGTGTGTCAAACAATCCACTAATTAATTGATAAAAAATACAATAGTATCCATTTTGTAATTTGGCAAATTGAAAAAGAACAATCAAAATAAATTAAGAACCACTGCTTTGTATCTTCATCTTTGGACTTGTTAATAAAGTGGAATCAAACCCATCGATCTTGAATTTATCACCACTTTCCTATTGTACTCGATCGCAATCACCACTTAGATTAAGAATCACCATTCTTAACTCACACCTAGCAACTTAATCCAGGGCACGTTCATTTGTATTCTCCAAGAATTTGAAATAATCAATAGAAATATTAAGCTAGCCAATTAATAAAGTTTGTAAAATATGATTCATAGTTTTCCAACAATGTTTACTAAATTACTTTAGATAGATCATTGTCAAACATCAATCCCATTTGGCTGAAAATCAAATAAATACGTGGAGGAAATTGAGGCAATAATACAGTTCTGAAGAACCTTCTTTTTAATAAATACAGGAAGGTGTAGTCGTGGAGATGTCCCACATAATTTCTCAGCATTTATGAAGAAAGGTCTTCTTCAATTTTCCTCACTGCACCCTGTTGGGTTTTGATACCCAATAAATCCGGGCGATGATGAAAAACAGTTGTTGGAAATTTATCGACACCATAAACTTTGCTCGACTCGAATACTACCGACACTTATGGAAGGTCCAAATTGGAGTTGGATTGGGGTTGTGATTGGTTTGTGGTTTAGGTTGAATGTTAGGCCCATTACTTTTGGCCCAATAACATGTGACCTAATCCCATTTTGAATATACTCATCCCTTTGGAACCGTGAGTTGGTGTGGTACAAAGAGAAGAGCCATGAGAGAGAGAAGCCCGATTTCCTAGTGACTTTGGAGCCATTGTCCTCTTCTTGTTTCTTCTTACCTTAGTGGTTTATTTGCATCCACCCATTATTGATCCTTTGTGGATT